AAGGATTCCTTGGCAAATGTTGATCAAAATAGTTGCTTACCTGGGTACCCGCCTCCGTCTTTACATTCATAGAAATTTCTTCTGGTTCAACAGAATCAATTTTCTTTTTATTTCTTAATGGGTATCGGTCCAACTTCTCCACCAGTTGTAGCGTAGAAATCAAGTTTTTCTATATCTGGAGATGTGAAAGTGTTTATTGATAACGTCACCACGGCCAGTCGACAAATATTAACAGATTAACCAAACTATATACAGCTAGAGAATATCGAGCAAGCAAGCTAGGCAACTAAATGATGATTTTGCAAATAATAAATCTGTTTCTAAATATTTTTGTTGAAAAATTAAATTAAATAATAAATTATTTCTTCGCCACAATATCTTATTTGAATCTTTGGAGGCGAGGTTCAAAATTTTGTCCGATTTTTGCACTTTATCGTCCTGGGTATCTTTTTTGGACTTGGAGAGCTGATTAGCATTTCTTAGTTGACGCATCACACTTTGAAGGGTTTTTCCTGTCAGACTTAAAAGCTGTCAGACTTTCTGCTTTCTTGGCTCGAATTGAGTTCAGTGATTGACCACCGTAATGTTTGATTCAATATTTGAATCGACTTTGTCAGAAACAAGCCAACTCAACTTCGTATAAAGTACCATAGGAGAATGAGTTGAATGTGTCTTATGACCTTGAATTATTTTTATACTTAACTTTACAAGAGAAGGAAGGAATCGCCAGACATCAACTTGAAGAAGGAATAAAAGTTTACGGCAACGAGTTTCTTTTATTTTATAAAATTCTTCGCCGTAAAATTGTTCATTACCAGTTTCTTCTTCAGCTACTGGAATGTTTTTATGTGACGTCTGGTTTAGTTCGGAATTTGAAGGTCTTTGAAATGTTTAGATTAGCAAAATTAACAGAGGCATATCCTGACCGCTCCCATGAGCATTTTAGATGCCAGAGCTCCATCTAATGAAACAGAAATCAACTAAACGTTGATTTAGACTTGTTCCAAACCCAAAACTAAGCGCCATCTATTAACCGCCTCCGCAACTCTCGAACTCGGGTCGGTGACAAAGCCACGACATCAGCATTAACAAACTGAGAAGCATCCACCTGACCTTGGTTTCGGGCTAATGGTCCTTGTCAGTCTAGGGCGAACTTTATTTCATAAGATTCACAAGGAATCAAATGAAATATTCATAATATGCCAAAGAGTTGTTTAGAAGGTAGTGTGGCTAGGTCAAATGGCAATTTTTCCGGGAAGAAATTTAGCCATTAGCCCGAAACCATGATCTCTAGGTGGACGCTTCTCAATTTTCCAAAGCTGGTGTCGTGTCTTTGTCATTGATCTATTTTGCGGAGACGATCAATAGATGGCACTTAGTTTTGGCGTCTATTTTGACGGGAGAGGCGATTTTTATGGATGAATTTCCTCCCGGCACACACAGCATATATAAGAAGATATGTTTTCATCTAAATTATATCTATATGAGTCAAAATAAAGCGGTGAGGGACAATCATCATGAATTTCAAACTTAATGTGATTTAATATAAAGCAGCCGATTAGTAAGCTTTTATGTTTCACTAAATATTTTACCTCTTCCCTCAATATACGATTGTCGTCCCCCACCGATATTATTTTGACTCTTATATGTAAATATAATTGTTCAATCGCGGTGGCAAAAAAAAATATTTATTTTCTTATTTTAGTGTGTGTGTTTTAATAAAATATTTTTATTCAAAACTAAAAATAGTTTATTAATTAATTAGTTCTCATATAAATCTAATTGTTCAAAAGTAGAGGTAAAGTATTATTTTTTTACTTTTTGTGCATTTTAATTATAAAATAGATATATATAAAAACAATATTATATCACATTCTACTAAAGAAAATATGTATATATTATACGTATGGATTTATATATAATTTATTTGTAAATAATTACAAATTTTTATTTTTTCAAGGGAAGTTTCTAAATTTTGATTCACAGTTAGACTTTTAGAACCACTTTATGAAAAATATTCGGTTAGATAATAATTTTTAATATCGAACTAAAATTCTTTTTTAAATAAAATTGTGTACCTGTGTAAAAAAAAATGCCCGGGTAGTTGGCGAAAAAAAAAAAAGAAGTGGTGACCGGCGGTATAAACCGATTATCGACAGCCATGAACTGGGATAAAATTCCGCGTTGGAAACTTTTTATATATATATGTGAAGAACCTGTTCATTTTATTCATTGTAAATAACATAATCTAGGTTACTCTTTCTAAGCGGTGAACCTAATAAAGTGATTTTGGAACATTAACAGGGGTAGTTGGCGTTCTGCGGTCCAGTGGGTTATATCTCTCTACCTGTATACCTATATATGTAATACCAGTAAATTTATTTGTGCAAAATTTTAGCGATAGATGGCAATAAAATTTATATAACGCCTCAGCGGCGAAACACGCGATCTACGTTTTCTTCGTAGATCGAGAAATACGTGGTGTCGCTGGAGACCCGCTGGCGATTCTCCACTAAACTCTGCCACCGCTGAAGATAAATATATATATTCAATTATCTCTTCAAAATAGTGTAGACTGTGCACTTTTGCATGTATTGACAAGATGTCAATAAAAATATGTTAATTTTCAATTGTTCACAATGACCTGAGTGACCACGTGTGGAACATGCAGGGCGGCGCGGATCTGTGCTGTCAACCCGAGATCTCCGTGCCCTACCAGCCTGCCGGAGCCGTGCTGCGCTGCCTCTGCCGTCGCCACTGACCGATCCCGCACACAATAAACACTCTCCTTAGTTTTATTGTTTTCACTTTTTATTGAAGTGTTTATCCTGGTTAAGTACACAGTTTTCGGAGACAATACAGTAGAATCTCCCTTTAGCGAACACCTCTCTATAAAGGACAGTTTTAATTTGCAAAATTGCCATTTTTACTATTTAGCAACTCTTCGGTAAGAGGACACCTCTCCCTAAAGGATACTTTGGCTCTGCAATTAGGTGTCCTTTTCAGGGAGGTTCTACGATGTATGTTGAGATGATATATCTGAAGCAGAATACTTAACTACAATGTGTGATCAATAATTTCCAGGAATGAGACTGGATCACGTAAAATATTCAAAATAATGAAATAATTTTATGAGGACCTTATAGAGAAAACATTTATCAACGCCCAGAAAAAAATTGATCACACAGACGCACGCGCTCAAGTTTTTCCGAATATATAAGCTCGAGTATACCAGAACATTTTCTAACTTCAGTATGGACTGTATTGAAAAACAGCGACAGCATAAAGTTTTGCTTTAAATTAGGAAAAACAGCTTCCGAATCATTTCAAATGTAGAAGAAGGCTTTTAAAGAAGATGCCCTATCACAATCGAAGATATTTGAATGGTTTGCACGATTTAAAGCTGGTCGAACAAGCGTCAAGGATGATCTACACACTGGCAGACCTATATCGATAAGAAACCCCGAAAATGCACTCAAAATTAAGTCACCCATCAAATAAAATCCAATAATAACTATCAGAGAGCTATCCGAAGACTTGGATATCTCTTTTGGAACATGCCAAACCATCATAAAGAATGATCTGCATCTTAAACGATCTCCGGGTAAATTTGTCCCACATCTCTTAACGAATGAGCAGAAAGAGCATCGCAAAGAAACGTGCAAAAACATGGTCGAAATGTTTAATTATGATCCCCATTGGCTCAAAATTGTTATCACGGGAAAGAAAGATGGGTGTATGGATATGGTCCCGAGACTAAGAGGCAATCAAGCCAGTGGCTAGAGCCTGGAGAACCAAGATTCAAGAAAAAAAAAGATGATCAAATCGAAGCTTAAGTGTCTTCTTATCACTTTCTTTGATGTAAACGGATTGGTACACTATGAATTCGTGCCCGAGGGTCAGACCATTAATCAGCATTACTATCTTGATATATTCCGACGTTTAAGGGAGGCTGTGCGTCAGAAACGACCCGAAAATGGCATCAGAAAAATTGGCTCTTGCATCATGACAACGCGCGACCACATACGGCCGTCACTGTACAACTCTATTTGGCTAAACACGGAATTGCTTTACTACCCCAGCCCCCCCCCCCCCCCCCCTATTCTCCTGGACTTGCTCCCAACAACTTTTGCCTTTACCCTAAAATTAAAAAAAAGTCTCAAATATACGTCGATTTGACTCAATACCTGGAATAAAGGATAACACGAAGATTATAATTATTTTGAAAAATGGGAATTTTCAGAGGTGTTTTTATATCTGGAAAAAAATATGGTGACGGTATAGTGTGACGGTGATTATTTTGATAAATTTTAAATAAAACATTATTATACTTTTGTATTTATTCAAAATTTAGCATTTCTGTAAATTATTGATCACACTATGTATATCAGATAAATCAATATTTATTTTAAATAGAGTAACCATTGTTCTTTCAAGGCGAAGAGCATCAGAACCAAAACTGGTTGATATCGTTTTAGGTCTGACACTCTTCGTCTTGCAAAAATAAATCAATATTTATCTTTAATTTTCCCGTTTTTTCTTGTAATTACAAGGAGGTTTGAGATAGAAACATGCATTTTTGGATTTGTTCCTCCTATGTCCAATTCTGGAATAATTAAAAAATTAACGTATAGCTTATATTTATTCCGACATTGGACGCAAGCCATCGGCAACTTTTAGTCGCACAATCGGGAGGTGCATTTTTCTTTTTTCTTCATTTATCCACCTGATCCCAGTACAATTTAACTTTTGTACTAATTTTTCACATTGTTTTTGGCGTTCTCACCACTTCATGTTTCATCATTTTTGAGGATACCTGAATGACCAGTTTTTTTTTTTTTTTGGTTGCTTAGGTACAAGATGGGGGTCGGTGGAAGGATGGTCTAAACAGTTGATTGTTGACCCAGGATCGAATCCCACATGGGCATTGTATCTGGGCACGAAAATCATACACTTTGTTTTTAGTAACCCGTAAAATCATATTTTCTCTATCTCTCAAGGTTGGGATAGCTCAGTTGGGAGAGCACTAGACTGAACATCTAGCGGTCCCTGGTTCGATCCCAGGTCCCGGCATTTTTTTTTTTTTTTTTGTGGAAGGAAATATCTAGGAGTAATATTAGGTTGTCCTGGGTTACCTACATAAAATAATATATATATGTAAAATTTATATATTTTTTAAATTGTTTTTTTCACACATATATATGTGTTTGAGTCAAAAGGCGATCCATTAATTAAGATTATAAAAAAGGGCGTACCTGGATCTGTAAAAGAAAAAAAAAAAAATTTCTCAAAATATTTCGAGAGATTGCTCCCTCCTTTTTTTTTTTTTCTTTTACAGATCCAGGTACGCCCTTTTTTATAATATATATGTGTGTTTGTGGGTCATATATTGAAATAATAGAAATTCCTTCCATTTTACAAAAACAAAAATGTGTATGATTTCTCTCTTGATTTTGATCATGGTTTGATTTTAAAAAAATCAATAACAATAAACCTTAATATTTAAAGACTTACAAAAAATATATATAGCTTAGCTATTAATTAACTATAGGATATTTTTAACATTTTCTATCTGTTTTTTATGTGCCAATATGTAGAAACATTAAGTACAGTAATCATAAGAAGATAGTAAGAGAGTACATTTAATGTTATTTCAAACCTCATATATAGTAACGACAATATATATATATTGTATTTATTATTTTATTAACAAAGTATTATTTTTTATGTTTATATTTTGCTACTCTGTAAACTTGTCTTTCGCTTATCTTTTGTTCATCATTCTTAGTCTGTTCTTGCCTAAAATAAATTTCTGTGTCATCCTGAAGTTTGTCTTTTGGTGGAGATGCTGGGTAAGTTAGGGAAGACAAACTGAAGACCGCCGAACAGACCTTGAGGGCATGTGTGCTGTAATCTACATTTTCCGCTCCTGGCTCCAGGATTCCACCGCCGTGTCAAAGTCAAGACTTCCCTCCAAGATGACGATGTCTCTATAGACGATACGACGACAAAGCCGCTCTTCACGCCGCAAGAAAAAGGGCGCAAAGGTACTAGGGACAAAGTTCCTAGACTTCGATGGAACCCTTGGCAAAAGCACGTCAGATCCATGTCAGCATCTACAATAATTACAAGCTGTGGGTCACAGCTCCCATAGGGAAGGAGCTATGTAGCAAAGTATTTATTATATTTTATTAACAGAGTATAATTTTTTTTTATGTTTATATTTTGCTACTCTGTAAACTCCCTCAATTGCTTATCTTTTGTTTATCATTCATAGTTTGTTCTTGCCTTAAATAAATTGCTGTGTCATCCTGAAGTTTATCTTCCCTTTTTTAATAAAAAAAATATATAAAAAGTTAGTAATATAAACTAAATATGCATTAGTATGTATTATATCGTATAAATAAGTTGTTAAACATTTGCAAAAGTTGACGTCAACATGTCTAGATAAAATTATTAATTAATTATTTCCAGATATCATTATTTATTTGGTTGACCCAGGTCCGTGGAGCCAACTCCCCAGTTAATTAATGTATTGTTTCTCCAGCTAGAGGACACATTGTTTGGGAGGCCAAGCTATGGAATATAAGTGATTAATTAATTAATATATACATAAATATAATATCGGGTTCTTTTTCTTTTAATAAGAAATTTACCCATATTACTCATTGATTATTTAAATGATTCAGTTATTGTTTTGTCACAATATAGAAAATCTAATATATACTGTGAACACCAATTTAATTAATATTAAATATCAAGTTCTGTGTGTGTGCTTTCCCATGAATACGTGGCCGTTTTTTTTTTTTTTTTTTGGTAGACATTTTCACAAGCACAGCATTTTACTTCCAACAAAACTTTATTGATCTAAAAATTGGAACTTATATATTTACATATTTAAAAAAAAATAGGCACATGACCACTAACATGAGCGTTTTTTTTTTTTTTAGATGACAGAGCGCCATCCAGTGGAACAGAAGTCAACTAAACGTTGATTTAACCTGTTCCCTTATATTTGGCTAACCCATTTACTTGATAAATCAAGAAAAGTCAACCACAAACGGGCTGTTGGCCCTCGTCAGCGTGGTGCAGGCTGTTATTATATTTGCATATATACCAAATTTGTGTGTCGTTTCGATTGCATAAAATTCTGGAGTTTTTGAGACTATAAAATCATAGAAGACGGTCACCTTCTTGGTATTTGAATCATTCAAAGAAAGTGGCTGAAGTACTAGAGGCGGTGTCAGTAGGTAAACGAGAGGTCGGGCGACTATGGAGGGTGGGTCAAGAGTATCAAAGCCCAAAGTGTGTACATTTTGCGTGTCATCATTGAGTCGTGTGGTCAGTGCGGTAGGTCAACGTTTTATAGGCCTAGAGAGCCGACTACTTTTTTTAAAACAAAGGCGTAGCGTTTACTGGCTTCTTGGAGGGCCATATCTTTCAATTTCGGAGACAACAAAAGGTAGTGATATTCGTAAAAGTGTCAATAATTAATGCTCTGTGTAGATTGGAGCTCATCTCAATCTATTTCTACTCTCGAGGTTTGTTTTGATTGCTTGGAAGTAATGTCTTGACACTTACGTGAACTCCGAGTAGCGCGGTTTTTGATATTTCCAATCCATCCACTAGTGTCTCTTTTAGTGAATAAAACACAAAGCGCTATCTGTGTGTGTTGGTTGTGGAATCATTCAGAGCTGTTTTTTTAATCATATAGGATAAATTGAAAACATCTTCCACAATGTAGCGATTTGATAGATCAATTTAACGAAATCGCTGGAACGTTTTACCACTTATGAGCCAAGCCTTCCCGTCTTTTCAGTTCACTAATTGGGAAAATCCGTCCTATATGACTTAAAAATACTTGTGCTGAATAATTTTCCATCCATAACAATGTTTTTCTTGCTGTGATTCGCATTGGACGCGATTCAAACAAATTCGGTGTGTGCAGATATGAATTATACGATTAAAACAAAAGTTGATATTGCTTTATAATATACGAGGTTGGGTCAATAAGCAATGCACAATCACCGCTAGCAAAATACATAAATAATTTATTATCATAAAATATATGTTTTCTGGTAAATAAAATACTCTGATTTCCATATTTGTAATCATAATTGATTTATCTAGGAAAATTAAACAACCTTTTACTAGAGTTAGAAGATTGGGCGATATGGGGCAACTATCAAATCGTCACAACAATTAGCCAAATCTATTTCCTCTTTATCGGTTGAAACAATGCCCGCTCTATAATGTTAATGGTACTAAAGAAATAATAATTAGTTTTAATTTATCTTAAAATCTGAGGAAAAATTACATATAGTTTGTTTTCTCAAGTTTAATCCAAATTTTACAAATTGGGATGAAAAATACCCCATAGAATTCAACAAAAGAAGATTTATAACCAAGCAATTATGATTGAGTCCAATGATATTTGCCACCCTTCCCATCTATCAACATTCTCAAACTCGCAAGACACAAGTAAGTGTTACCTAGATGAAGATATCTGGCCTGAACTGGTGGCAAGAACATGGGTCGAAAGTAAAATTCAAGGTATCGCTCATAAAATGGGACTCATTACAGTTATATTTTTTATTATTAAAGTTTGGAATTTTCGTGGAAAATCCAGTTAAAGAATTGATGTAACATTCCAGCTAAAATTGAACGTCACACACACACACACACACTTTGGGCGAACGCTCCGTGATTTTTGATCAGTTTTAGTGCGACCATTCCGCTAATGCTTATCGATTTTAACTCGACTTCCGCGAATGTTGATCCATTTAGTGCGACCATTCCGCGAATGCTTACCATTTAGTGCGACCATTCCGCGAATGCTTACCATTTAATGCGACCATTCCGCTAATGCTAATCGATTTTAACTCGACTATTCCTCCAATGTTGATCCATTTAGTGCGACCATTCCGCGAATGTTGATCCATTTAATGCGACCGTTCCGCTAATACTTATCGATTTTAACTCGACTATTCCGCCAATGTTAATCCATTTAGTGCGACCATTCGACGTTTTATTTTCTTATATAAAGATGGAGCGTTATATTGTCCTATAATTAATTTAGAACTATTTATATTTAGCGATTAAGCAATGCTATGTTTTAGCCACTGAGACAATTTTGATAAGAGTTGATTATTGTAGGGAAGAAGATAACATACATTTTGTTTGTTTAAAGTGTCTTAGTTATAAGAAGGTATAATTTTTGGGTTAAAGATTAGAAACACAAGATAATAAGACCAAACCCAAATAAATAGTGAGACATTTTAGTAACAATACTGTAACAGAAATGTCACACTTTTATTTGGGTTTTTTGGTCTTATTACTTTTTGTTTATAAGTGTCTTTTTAATGTTGTTGTTATCGTCCATCAAGTCTGAGTTCAACTTTTGGTGACTATATGGACAAATATTCCTCAATTTGATCTGTTAGTGTCTTTTTAATAGCTCTCTCTAAAAACCTATTACCTCACTTCTAATGAACTCTAATTTTGTGGAACGTTTTTCATCTATTTATCGCTATTTTTGATTTTCCCAATTTGTAATACAATGGTAAAATATTCTGTGGAATAACAAGGAAGATAGAAACAAAAAGTTACAAAGGAACTACAGTCGACTCTCGATAATTTGAATATCTCGATAATTTGAAATGTTTTCCCGGTCCCTCGAAAAATACTCGATAAGTTGAATAAAATCAATATTAATTATTCCACTCGGTAATTTGAAGTTGGAGGAGTAGTATTTTTCCACAAATGAACATTTGTGTGAAAACTGTCCAAATGTTTAAAATTATAAATCATTAAATTTTAATCAATTTGTTTTTATTGAGATGTAAGATTATATCTGAAAATTAAAATATGAGGGAAAATGTTGCCGGTGACTTTCTCAAGCGCCAGACCAACCCGCGAACTAACTAAACAAAGTTAGAACTCAAATTTCCCACGCCGAGCGAGCAAAGATGAGAGCTTGATTAAGTGGGTTCGTCAGTGTAGAGGACAAAACGTTCCCGTCGGCGGTTTTATGTTGAAGGAAAAACCAAGTCTTTTGCGCAGTCTCTTGGAAT